CCATGTTGCCCTGCTGGAGGATCTTCTGGACCGGCCTGTCCAGGTCTCCAACGTGGCTCACCACACCACCCAAGACTGTGTCCTCTCCCGAGTCTGGGACTGGGTGGGGAGGGGGTGGCCCACTAGCCTGGTGGGCCCAGAGTTTGCCGCGTACTTGTCATGGAGGGACGAGCTATCTACCCACAAAGGGTGCCTGCTATGGGGAAGCTGGGTGGTGGTGCCAGCCCCACTGCGCACGTGGGTGCTCGTCGCCTGGCTGCCTCAGTGCCTGCACAGCGTAGCCAGTGCTCCTCCTTCATCATTGCTGCTGCCCTGCCCACCCCTCCCTTGCCTCACCAAACAAAAGCCCTGTGGCTGCGCACTGCTCCACTCGCCTGCTGTTCCTCAGTGCCTGTGTGCATGTGCTCTGCCGTGAAGCCGCAAAGGCCGAGCACGTGCTGCACACGCCGCCTGTCAGCCACCCGCTGCCACTCTGCCGCATCTCCTGCCCACACAGTCATGAACTTGGAAGGAGTCTGTGCCCCCGGCCCCTGGAATTTAAGGTTGGTTGGGCACAGCTGTGTGGGAGAGCCTCCCCACCCCCCAGATGAAAGGGGCTCCTCTGGGCTGGCTGGGCTGGCCTCACCTTGCCCCACCTGCCCTTCCCCGGAACTGGAGGTGACAAGTTTGGCCTGCGCCGCCACTGCCATGGCCGGCCAAGACTCAAGCAAGCACTTTCCCTGCTGCCTGGGCCTCCCTCCAGGTGGGGGGGGACACCCTGTGGCCTCACAGTGGCACTGCTTGGGGAGGGGGCTGTTTCTTCCTAAACAAGTGGGGGAGAAGGAGCAGTCCTCTTACTCTTGTGCACTCTTCCAGTAGAGGGGAACTTCTCCTCACAGTGCAGGATTGGGCCTCATGTACCAAAATTCTAGGCATGCACATAAACTCATGAGCGCACAATGAATTGCCTGGAGATCAGTTTTAATACCAGGAGATCTCCAGCCACCACCTGGAGGTTGGCTACCATACTAAAAATCATGAGAAACGGGGGAGTTAAACCTTTTTTTAAAAATGAGGACAGGGTGACTGCATACCTGTCAAGTCTAGGAGTTCAGGGAATTTTGATGAACCGGACAATATGCCACCTGAAATATATACTGTCTCACAATTAAGAGGATTTTTCAAAATGCTTTGTGATTTGTGTTTTACTGTTTGAGAGAGAAGATCAGAGATTGTATTACTTGTTCTCACAATTAAAAAAGAGAAGAAATTAGCAATTTCAAATTTTGTGTTTTTCAGTCTTCCTAAAATGCATTTATGTTTGAAAATTGGTGGGCGATGTGGTGGTAGAGAGGGTGGGGGGGGGGGGGGGGGGGGGGGACCAGAAAGTAGCCTTGCCTAGTGTACAAAAAACCCCTGGCCTAGATACTGCAATAATATACACGTCAGGTCAGCTAAACAGAGAGAGGAAGATTATCAGCAAGATGAAAGTGATAAAGGCAATTTAAAACACATTTGTATGTTAAAGATGATAAAACCACACAACTGAAGTGCAGTAGTTGGAATGCTGCGCTGCCATGGGGAGGAGTGCAGGGGGAATCCACTGCACTCAAACTTACTTGGTGACCTTGGGCTGGTCATTTTCTCAGCTTCACCTACCTTACAAGCTTAGTATTGTAAAGATAACATCGACGATGAGACAACCACGTATTCCCCCTCCCTGAAGTTTCTGGTAGGAATGGTGAGATAAAAATACGCTAAGAGTTCAGAACTCAACCATGAGGAAGAAAAGAGTCCCTTTTTTTTAGACTGGAACAAAATAGAGAAAAACCAGTTCTGCTGCCCAAAACAGCAACAGCTTATAGAACTGTTCCTGCTACAAGGCTTATTAGATAGTGTCATTAATGCATGTGGTGCCTTGCCACATAATGCCATTGGTAGAAGACAGCATGTATAGCACTTTAGTTCATCACAACCTGAGCTAGTCATGATTGCCAAGTATGAGTACTAGCAGCAATAGATGTATGAAGAGACATCACCTTTAGAAATGTTTAAGCTATTGGTTGTCTTCTCAGGAGCTGGTTGCATGTTGCCTGGCCTGGGATTCTTGCCTTTCCCTCAGGGCACATGAACTTTTAGTACCCCCAGAGAAAATGGACAGAAATTACCTCAGCTGGCTTCTCTCAGGCCTTTGGCATGCATCACAACCCTGGTGTATTCCTCTGGTCTGCCCCTCAAAACACTACTAGGGAACTAGTTTTGCATCTCTAGCTTATGTGGAGGGGTAGGGGAGAAGCGTAAGATGCAGAAATGCTCATTACTAGATCAAACACACCCTTTACCATGTATAGAAGGGCACACCAACACAAGGTTGCCATTTTTAGCAGCAGACCGATGTTGTTATTATATCTAGTTCTTTCATATAGCCATGTCTGTAAGAAAAAGTTTAGAAAATTAAAATCAAAGTTACTATTTACAATTTGTAAAGATATTGATTTCAAAATGGGGTTCACCCACAAATTTGGCTGACTGTATACCACAAATATGAGAAGACAGTAAGTTGAAAATAACTTTATTGATGTATCAAATGGCAAACAACTGCAGGAATTAGGGGGAGTAGACCAAAAAAAAACCTTCTCTCAGTTACATTGCATACAGATACAAACTATTCCCTAGAACAACTAACTAGAGAAATCCCCTACACCCAACTTAAAATTATTATAAAAGCAGGATCAGAACATTAGAAAATGCATCAGTTTCATAGTAAAGTGCCAAAATTACAAGATGAAAGTTATACTGCATTACAGAAGATTGTGATTCCAGAAGAAAGCTAACCTAAAACAAACAGCAGCAACCGAGGAGCTTCAGAAAACAGCACCTTTGCTCAGAGTGGCAAAGAAAAGGTATATCAACCCCAAAATATTTTGACATATTTAACTACATGTATAACTTGCACAAAATTCACACAGTGATATAGTACTTTTCTAGATTAGGCTTTCCATCTTGTTAGCAGTATGAATTCCAAGCTGAACCACCTGTATAGTTTTTACGAATCAGTTCTCTCAGACCTGATACAGATTGATTGAAGGAGCCTCATCTATACATACTTCCAAGTTCTTCGATTCATGCACGAGGGCTTCCCATTTCCATTCTTCCAACTGCAGGTTGTCATGCTATCCTGAAGAAAGATCCCCCAACTTGCTTATATAGCACCTAAACATATACTATATACTTTACAGAGAGATTAAAAAACCAAAAAAGATCCCTGTCCAAACAGATTACAAATTCAGAAATAGGCAGAAGGGTGAACAGGAAAAGGAAGGAAACAGTCTGCTATAAATACAACATTCTTATTGATACAGACTCATAATAGAAGTAGAGGGACTTTTGAACTGCTTAAACGCTCTCATGGCACTACCAAACCAGACAACAAAGGTCAAGGAAAAGTCCATGCAGAGCAGAATTCTGTCTCTTGCCCTCTCTGAATTAATGGACCTTTAGCATCATCTTCAATACATTCACATCCAGCTTGTGGCACAGAACGGCATAATATAGTTATCCTCAAGCTTCAAGTCTTCCATTCATATGGGCCAATGCTCATTAACCGGTAGGAGCCTGGGGCACAGCAACAGCTAGGTTATATGGCATCAAAATGCACAATCAAAAACAGGAAGGTCAACCACAGCATGAAGCAAACCCAAACACATCCAAATAATTAAAGACAAAAACCATGTGAGAGGAAGGCTCACCTCCCCTAGCCCTGCTGTTTTTTAGGTCAGCATAACCTAAAGTTTTTCCATATGGGTTATTTCTGTTAGTTGTGTGCCCCCCACTGCATCATGTGCAGCAAAACCTAGACTCCAGGACAGAGACCTTTTGCAATGCCTGTCCATCTGAGTGTAGACTAGCCCCCAAGTCCTCATTTTATATACACATTATGTAGCTCTGCTAGGTGCTGTGGTCTATTAACAACGAAGCCAGACTAAGTCTCCCTGTAACTTTTTTCCTGCAGCAATAGGACTCCTATTTTATTATGCAAGCAGTTAATATAATTGCCCACTGCCAAGGGTAGTATCACTCTTTCAAACAATGACACTGGTTATTTTAGAAAGTTTAATCAAAATAATTTTGTCATCAAAGCAGCATGGTTTCAGAGAAAAATCTATTCCATAAAATTCATGATTTTTCCCCTCCAAAATAATTTCCCTCCCCCTCTACAACGTATAAAATAAGGCAACACAAGGCCCCTTAGATTGAGACAGACATGTCACTGCTCCACCCAAACATTACAAATCTAAAATCACAGTTGTAATATTAATTTCCAGTTCAGGAAAAGTACTATACTCACTCTAGCTATCAAAAAATTACAAACCATTAAAATAGATTTGATAACCTTTTTAAAAAGTATAATCTACTCCCAAATATTTATGCTTCACCATTTAAAAATAAAACTAGTTTTTCATTCTTAACAAATCGCAAACATTTATTTGATTTATTACAGAATACTACTAGAGGGAAATCAGTGTAAGAAGAACTGAAAGGCAATTGTGTGGGAAGGAATCCATATGTAGTAGGAGGGGAAAAGATTTATCCTTCTTATGGTTGAAAGCCACTTGACTTGGATTTATTACCCTGGAACCAGGGCATTCCAACTATGCTCTAGGAAATCCTGGAATTCCTTGGAAACTAACCATGGATTCCAGATTGGGAGGTGATGTAGAAGTTACAGCCATCATGGAGAGAGTCCCATTTTCATGTGACATATTTGGCTGTTTAGAAGAGTTACCACTTGCATTCAGCTTACTGAGTTGGTACCTAATCACTTCAGGAATCGATCTCAACATTTCCATGATGGTTTCAAGTACTACTTTTAGTCAATGGCATTCTGAACATTTGCATTATCTTTTAGCATAGAGTTCTGATTCTAAGCTATCTGAGAAAATAGAGACTGTGCAGCCATCTATATTCTATAGCTCTCCTTTGAAAGTACCAGCTACCACAATTCCCTTTAAGAAGGCTGCACAGACTTATAGGCCATGGAATCTCCCAACCTCTGGGAGAAAAGGTTTTTAAGAAATCCTTTATACCATACAGTGGAGATTAACATTTGCAGCAATCGTCCTTCATGGCAAGTATTCACTCCAGACATCGCATCATCACTTGAAACACAGGAAATTATATCATCTAGACCAGCCCTAAAATGAGCTTCCTTGGAAGACATTACTATTACATTACTCCATAACCACTGATCCTTCCCTGCAATGCCCTTTCTCAGAGCAAAACTTAGCATATTTTAGGTTGATCTCCATTTGCATTTGCTCCAAAGCCAATAGGCAGGGTTCATCCCTACACACTGGCACATTCTGCAGGAAAAAAGCATCCCCCGCATCCTATGAAATATGCAAGGATTCTTGCAGCACAGACATGAAAGTTCTTCAACAGTCCAGCATAAAAACTGAATTTGCTACTTTAGAAGATGGAATGGTTTTGTTTGGCATTTGACCCAAACTGGTCAAGAATGTGGCCAATATGCTCAAGTTAACTGCATGCTTAAAAGAATTTAGCCTCAAGAGTAACACTTCAAGAACAAAGGGCCTAATAATAAGGCAATAAAAGGAGCTATATTCTACAAGGTGGCAACACCAATTTATCAACTGAATCAAGGCTTTTGGTCAAATACATGCAATACTTTAGTGTGTACACATATGTGACCAATACTGACTGACCACATCATGGACAAACATGCAAACAAGAAGATTATGGATATGATCTGCCACAGTATTCACAATCACATTTATCCTACTGTTTGCAGTCATGGGAATGTACTGCGAACTACATCCTCAATCATCTGATTCATATGTTTCATTTGTTCATAAGAACACTTACATGGAGACAGTTGGGACAACTTGTATGTCCAAAAAGCAGAGGCCAAATTGGCCTTTAGTGAAAGATTTTATCCAGTCAGACTCTATTGCAGAATATTAAAGCTATCAAAAAAACCCCAAAATCTCAAGTAGTGCAACTTTTCTTGATCCAAAATAGGCCACAACTATCCCCCGACCTACATAATAGCCTGAAGTCACACCATCAAGTTTAAACCTAGTTCTTTCTTTCTAAGCAGCATTTTATAACAGATATTTTTCCATGGTGGTTCTCTTTGAGAACCAACACATCTAAACCCACCATGATTTAACTCCCCATTTACTAATATTCAAGCACACTTATTTGACCTGTATAATTCATATTTTCCATAGTGCTCATCACATTATAGCTATATTTAAAGTACTAGGGCTGGTTATTTTAAATTGCCATGGAGTGTTTAGAAAAAGAAAACCTTTTTCAAAATTCAAGGAATGGCACATTTAATATGTAGAACCACTGTTAGTGGCTGGAATGAACCAACAGGTTCTATATACCTGCTTAAGAAAATCAGTCTCTGCATAACCAACTAAGGTAATATGGAGGAATGCACAAATACTTTATAGCTTGGGAACTGAATCCATATACATCATCTTTCAAGGAAAATGTTATAGCTGAACTCCCACAGCTATTTCTCCAGGAAGAACAGCCATTTTCCTAAAGGAAAAAACGGGAGGGGGCAGAGCACAGATACAGCACACACTTCTGTAAACGTAACAGTTGTTCCCTCTTGTTCCTGGTCAAGAGACAGTTAATTTACTTCTTCTGCCTGGATTGGAGGAATCTTGCTGGACACCAGAGAATATACATAAGGCCAGATTTTGTTGGTTTCTGTCCCAGAGAACGAATGTAGGATTCCTCTGTTCCTGAAATATGGAACAGATGTTTGTATAAGTAAGTGTAATGATGTTAACATTTGTGACACCACCCCACAAAACCAGTCCAATTAAAAATCGATGTAACAGACAACAAAACTAGGCTGATTCAATTACATGTACTCTGTATACCTTTCTCCAGTAGCACTATTTACATATGTGACAAAAAGAAAATATGAGAAGCTGCCCCAAAGCCATGAAAGGAAATTTCTAAACTGATTGTGCTAGATTGGTTCACTGTGCCAAAACATTTAAAGCCTAACCTTGAGAACTACTAAAAATAATGCAGCAAAATCATAAACTGTACAAATTATAACCATACAAATATAGCAAATACTTATACTTTAAAAGTGGGGGTGTACTACTGCCCACTGATTTACCAGCGATTATACCAGTGTAAGCAATTACAAAGCCCTTTCTATGCATCTGTGATGGATTAAGAAATGGCTAACCCAAATTCAAACTTCAACCAGCCCTTTAGGTGTATTCAAGCACAATTGCAGGAGCCACTTCCATGAGACCATTCAACAGTGCTACGAAAAGGTTTAAAGACCCACAACCATGTAGGTGGGGCCAATCATGTAGGTATACTCAATTATCAGCTGTGGCCTGGGGCAATGAGTGCCTAACAAGAACCTCTAAACAGAATAATGACTCCAGTGCAGTTACTGTGACATCTAAAGCAGGGGTAAGCATCCTATGCCTCTAGAACCAATACAACTGTTAGTAAAAGAAAATGAAATCTTTAAGTGAAGTTATATTGGAGTTGTAAGTGGGGTGCTAGAATACGCAGGATCTGAAGGGAATGGCAGGCAAGTGATTTATATGGGATTGAAAGGGCTTTTAAAGAGATCCTTTATAGAAGAGGGCATAGAATGCAGATAACTGTCTATAAGCATAGACATCATATGCTTGGATTTTCAAAAGGTTTTTGAAAAGGTACTGCACCAAAGAATCCTGTGTAAGCCTAACAGTCATGGGATAAGAGGACAGGTCCTCTTATGGATTAAAAATTGGTTAAATGCCAGGAAGCAGAGAGTAGGAATCAATGGCCAGCTCTCTCATTGAATAGAAGTAATAGTGAGGTCTGACAAGGAACAGTATGGGGGATGGTGTGGTGCTTTATAATTTATTCATAAATGATCTGAAACTGGAATGAGCAGTGTAGTGGCCAAATCTGCAGATGACACCAAAGTATTCAGGATGGTACACCCTAAGGTTGACTGTAAAGAGTTCCAGGAGGATCGCCACAAATTGGGTGAGTGAGCAACCGTGTGGCAAATGAAGTACAATGAAGATAAGTTAACATGATGCCTTATAAAGAACAGATGTTAACTCAGGTTGAAGTTTTAGAAGGCCTTAGAGAAACCAGGGGCCTGGATACAATGGGGTGTTAACTGGAGCTAGGACCTTATCATCTATAAATGCTTGACATTGTATGTATCAGTGCAGTGAACAAGTGAGCAAAATAATATCCATCATCACAGGCACATCACAACAGAGTAGACTATAGATGTTAAATACATAATATCCTTCCTTTTATTTAACCCATAAATGCAGGATCCAAACAATACTTTTGAAGCCTACTTGACTTTTTCTAGAATGATTAACAATCCCTAACATATGGCTCTGATTTCTGAAAGACTTTAAGTCAACCACTTACAAGTGTTCTGTCTACATTAATTCACTTGCCATCTAAGGAAAGCCCAATATTTAACATAATATCAACACAGCTACTGTTTCTGTGAAATTGTACAATGAGTTTCCACTTGCATATTATAATGAGATAGTAAATTTAAGCAATCATTTCAAGGTGCTGGTTGAAATAAGGATGACATTATAGATGATGATTTCAAGGGCAGCAGGGCAAATGGTTGAGCCAGCAACTGGAACAGGCTGTGATAAACTGAAGCACCAACACATACCTGACAAGTTTTTTTTAAAAAACAACCTGCACTAAAGCACCAACACACAAAGATGTGTGGTGCCTTCACTATGTCAACCACCCCCAAAAAATACAATTTAAACCCTCACCCATAACTTGCAAATTAAAAAAAAAGACCAAGATGGGTAGCTATTTTAGTCTGTCTGTGGCAGCAGAAAAGAGCAAGATTCCACTCGCTTCAAGACTAACAAAATTGATGGCAGGATATGTGCTTTCATGAGTCACTGAAGATACCTGAAGAAAGCTCATACCCTGCCACAAATTTTGTTAGTCTTTAAAGTGTGACTGGACCTTTGTTCTTTTCTACTATTAAAAAAAAGCTTGCACAAGTTTCAGGTGTAAGCTATTATTCAAAATATTATTTGAACAGAATTACCTATGAATGTTTCAGTAGAAATACTTGAATAATAAAATGTTTTAATAAAGACCTCTTTTGAACTGACAGAAAATGAATACAGTTCAAAAAGAGTACCTTGCTTCCAGTTCATAGAATGCTTCCAAATGCATTAACAGAACTGTCAGCAAATGTTAGAATAACACAACCACTGTATTAGTATTACTAACACTTCTAGATCTTTCTCACACCCTGCAAGATAAAGCATGCCTCAGCGCAACTGAACGCAGAAAAGAATGAATTCATGCTTACCAAGGAAACAGATCTGCCAAAAGACTTTCAAAGAGGACTATTTTCCCCACTTGGGAAGGGCCTAAGCATGTCTGCATACACCTAAGTGTCAACATGTGCAGCACAATACCACCATGGGAAAAAGGAAACTAAAGAATTTATTTGGATAAACATATGGAGCAGAGGTCCATCAGTGGCTATTAGCCACAAGGTATAGATAGGAACTCTCAGTCTGGGGCAAGTGATGCTCTGTATTCTTGGTGCTTGGAGTGGGGCAACAGTGGGAGGGCTTCTAGTGTCCTGGCCCCACTGGTGGACCTCCTGATGGCACCTGGTATTTTTGGCCACTGTGTGACAGAGTATAGGACTGGATGTGCCATTGGCCTGATCCAACATTGGCTTCTCTTATGTTCTTAAGAGTCATATTCACACGTCAAGTTCTGATCATGTACTAGACCCCATCTTGTCTCTAGCAATATACATAAAGGGCATTCATATATTACAAAATTATGACATAAAGCCCTTTATGATCCACTCTGTACAAGTCCATGTGTGATTGTTGCATTTTGTAGTGTACTGCAGTGAATAAATGTATGCGGAAGCAAGGGGAAATGAACACACAGCCAAAAAAGAAGAGGGGGCCACCAATGTGTGTGACTGCTACATGTGACAATCTACACATAGATTTTATGTTAGCTCTTGCATGAAAATGCCTTGTGTTAGTGTTTTTTTAATTTACAATTTTATTATTTTTCAAGAACAATAACAATAACAAATGATAATATATAACAACAATAGTTCGAAGTTTCACATCTGGTACAATAAAATAAGTGTTTTCCAGAATCGAAAAATAGAACATGTTGGTGTTTTGAAAAAACATGAAATGTCTTTCTATAGAGGATTATGTACCAGAATAATTGTGTATGTTATGCAAAAAGTGGGTGTGGATACATTTACACCTCCTTTGTCATAGGCTATTGCATCTGAAAATGGAACTTGGGGTCTACCAGTGTATTGTAAAATATAAAGCCAGTCTTCCACTCTTTAAGAACTTCTACACTCTTGCTAACAATATATGAATTTAAAAGGAATCATTTTGTTGTACCTTCCCAACCCAAAGGGCTATAAAGGACACATCTTCCTAATGCCAGAGATTTCTTGTTGCATATTCAAACTACTATTTCTTTCAATTAAGACATATTAATCTGGATCCACTGGAGTGTTTCTACAGGTGGGCTTTCCACCCACGAAACACAATTTTCTCACCTTGCCCTACCTGCAGCCCAAAATGCCCCTCAAGGAACAATCATGAGGGGGCACTTGGGCTGCAGGAAGCAGAGGCAGGTGAGAAAGCCCACTCTTCAGGTATAAATTCTTCCATCTGTGGAAGCATTCCAGTGTATCCAAGCTGATGTCATGAATCAAAATGCTCCATAACTCATTCAAATGAGCACAATGGATTAAAAACACTGATTCCTGACATATGTGAAAATGCTTATGAAATTCTACAAACTGCTTATGTGGATTTCAAATTTCTAACTCACTTGTACAGCTCCATTACAGGCTTTGCAGCATCTTTGTATTTCCTTAGCCTGACAGCAACAGCCTCCGGTTTATCATCTTCCCGCTGGATTAAAGGCTCACTCGTAATGTCATCTATCCCCTGTTTAGATTAACGTAATATGAAAAACAAAAGTATGAAATATTTCCTGGAGATATATATAGTCTACAATAAATACTCACAATTTTAACCATAATTATACCAAGAACAGTAACGTGCAAGCTATGCACATTATATAGATTTGAACCTGTTCGATTGTTTTTGTGTAACTGTAGAATGATGATATTCCATACAATGCACATTGTAATCAGCTTGATCAGAGCTAGGGATGGGCATGAACCAGCTCATGAGTTAAAATTCAGGCCAAACTTGGGCCAGTTCGGAGCTCTGGAACCATTGTTCAGGGAAGGCACATTCCCCGAACATTTACTGAACTTTTCTGGCTGGTTTGGTTCAGCTATTCCAGGCCAGCTATTTAACCCTTTGGTTTTGCTCCCCCCCCCCCTTCAAAGCAGTTGGGGGAAAGTTCAGTTCCCCCTTTCTCCCAACTGTGGCAGGGAGAAAGGGAGTGGGGGGATCACCTGGGATCCCCTCTGGTTTTGCTCCCTGCTGCTTCAAGGGGGGAACAAAACCAAACGGTTAAATGAAACCTTTTCCTGGCCAATCCCCGCCATGGAGAAAGGGGAAACTGAACTTGCCAGACCGGTTCAGTTCGTGTGGGGGCTGCTCGACTCGGGGTTTGGTTCATGGGCGACTCCGAACCAAACCACCTTTTTTTAGGTTTGTGCCCATCCCTAATCAGAGCAGAGGGAAAATGCCTGGAGGCAGAAAATTAGAATCTGTAGTGAGATAAGAATCCTGTGTCCCTGTTTAGCACTGGTGTGTGTGTGAGCGGTGTTTCCATTGTTCTGAACTGTGAATGAACTCAAATTCAGCAATCTCATGTTATAATCTCCCTTGAAGAATAGGGATGTAGGCTTCTTCTCTCACTACAGATGCTAATTTTCTGCCTCTAAACATTTTCCCTCTGCTCTAATCAAGCTGATTACAATATGTCCTGTATCTCTGCATCCAAAAAATCTTCTTGGTCTCTAAGATGCTACTGGACTTAATTCTAGCTGTTCTACTGCAGACCAAGGCCCTTTCTGCCCTCTCCTTTTAATCCATGTTCATCGCGGTGTCCTCCAAGCAATTCTGCTCTAAAATAGAATTCAACCTTCTTTTTATTCTGTTTTTTTTCTTTCATTCTGCATTACATTACTTCCCTTCAGTGGTCAGCTCGGTTTCAGCCTGCTGTTGCCCCAGGTTATTTGGATACTGTTTTGCCATGGACTTAAATTCCCTCGACTCAACTGACAAATCTTTCATCAAGTTACACTGCTCTAGCAGGATACGCTAACTTACATGCACACGAGGTGGGTTAAATTCCATATTATATACTCGTCCACTGGCTGGGTGAATCCAACGAGCACTTAGGCGGTCTTTTAGTGTCTCAAAGGGGATGTTCAAGCTTATCACCAAATCCAGTTCACATATCTTGTCAAGTGCTTCAGCCTGACCCAGAGTCCTAGGAAAACCTACACGCAAGAGAGAAAATATTCCATTAAAATATGCAGTTTATTACAAAAAGACCACCTTTTACATTTTTCTGCAACTATTTTTTCAACTTCTGATTTGAAATTGTCTTAGCACTGCTGTGCTGCAGTTTGCAGAAATAACTTTAGTGCACCACCTCTGAATGGTTGCAGAAAGGACTTTACTATACCACCTCTGAATGGCCTACTACAAAGGAAGGCAAACATGTAATAACATACAAGCACTACTAGGTTAATCTGCATTACTACCAGAATTCTGAGATTTATACTCAGATACGCAATCATCTGAGAAACAGCCTACTTGAAGTTGAAAGGAATGAATACATGGATTGCAAGATGAATCACTCACACCCTCACACCAAAGGCAAGGGATAATAATTTATTTATTTAGATTTATAACCCCCCTTGTAAACAGGCCTCAGAGTGGTGAACAATATTTCCAACAATATACACACATGGTTTAAAATTAAAAACTAAAATAACCGTAACAATTCAGCTAACAATTTCAGATGGTGCACTTCCACATGGCCTCTCAGCTACTGCACTCAGTTCCTAGACAGGAAGGAAAATAAACAACTTTCTATACAACAACCAACATGTAAAATTTTTGAATGCTTTCTTAGATCAATATCTCAGTTTCTGAACACCATAAGCAGATATAATCAGCAGAGCTGCAAAATGGAGGTAGGGACAGATGGAGGGGGATTGCTTTACAAACCTGAACAATGTCCCAGGCTTGCAAAAAGCTCTGAAACAAACAAAATGCATCGGGGGATTAAAACTCCCCCAAATAACTGTACCTTTGAGAAAAGAATGTCCACAGAATTCTAAATAGCTGTTGGCAGTTGCTAGGCAACCACAACAATATTGCCAAGTCTTGGTTTCTGTAAAGCAATGGTGGGGGAGGAGTGGACTGGAAGGCTCAAACAGCCCTCCCTGGAAAAGGTCCTCTGCCCTCACTGTCATGTCCCCTGATGGAGAAGGCCCAGCAGTGACTACCTACACAACTTGGCCTGGCCCAATTGTGCAGCCCAGCCCACTGTTGGCTGCCATGCAGCATGGCCAGACTTCTGCTGGGGAGAAGCTGTCCAATAGGGAAGAACAGAAAGCTGAAGACCCAGGGGCAGATAAAGGTAGGTTGGCTGGTGGCTGGGAAGGAGTGAGAGAAGCAGGCCTGGCCTGGTGCTACTGGCTACCACCATGCCACTGGGCCTGGCCTGGACCTATCAGTGGCCACAGCATTGCTCAGCCGCAGTTTTCCAGGGGAAAAGCCACCAAGGAGGGGGAAGGAGGGAAAGCTGAAGATAGGTGCAGGAACGTTGGTTGCTGAGTAAGAATGAGAAATGAAGCAAAAAAGGGGAGAGGCTATGGGGGCTGCCAGGGAAAGGAAGGGGGGAATTAGTGGAAGAAAGGATCTGGGGGAGATGAGATGTCCTTAACAAGTTCTTGCAGGCCCCCTACCTGTTAAATCATAAAACAATTTGCAAGAAGATAGAGAAAATGGTTCTAGCCCAGTTTCAGTCTTGGCTATGCTAACTTTCTCCTTGCAGGGATAAAAAAAGTAGGCACCATTCAAAAATAGTCTTTCACATCTGAAGTGGGGAAATATGTATACTTTAAATGTGGATGAAACACTTACTGTACAGAGTCTAGTAAGAATACGAATTATGCAAATAGCTAGTTACTGCACTTGGCCACTTGCCCCCTCAGTAAAAAACTGCCACATGCTAAAAGGAAATTCCTATTCTACTGTACCCTCAGATGTGACATTGTGGTTTGTTTCAATGCAATGCAAAAATCTAACATTGCACTTGCTTCATGTTCAGGACCGAAAACAGTGCAAAGTGAACAGCCCTGAACAAAGTTATCTATTTATTCATGATTGAAACTGAGCAGTGTTTGATACCCTGGGAGATGTCTGTTTGGAGGGTTTGGCTGCTCATCATCATTACCTACAGATCTAATAGGTCAAGGACCAAGTGGGTCTGGGGCTTTTCTCTTTTTGTCTGTTTCATCACCAGATGACTCAAGCCAAGTAAAGCTCACAGGAAAAGCAAAGGATCACACCACACAGATTTCCCCCTGGTTAGTGTAAGGCCATTCCACACACTACAATTTTAAGTGTATGCTTAATTTAAAATGTAATGCATGAATGTGACAAGTGTGTGAATCAAACAGCCACAATCCCTCTTGAGCATAAATTCAGTGACGAATACTAGGTTGTTTCTATATGGTGAGGGAAGCAGCCCATAAATGCATGTGAATTTAAACAACTGTACTGCACTTACTGTATCTGTACAAAGAGGACACACCAGATATTAACTGCTACAGATAATACACACACACACACACACCCAGGTGGCCCAGCAATCCCTCCTCCAACCTGAGCTGTGCAGTGCAGCTGCAAAACTAAACAAAGCTCTTTAAAAGTCCAAAATATGGGAGGGGAAGGAAATGCAGTGCTTAGCTTGGTGTTGCAAAGTCAGAGCTACAGCAAGAGTGCTGTGAATCAATGGGGGGAGTGCAATATCTGGGGGAAAGCCTGAAGCAGCACTCAACTGAAGGCTATGAGGCATGCAGGACATCATGTACTGGATTGCCACCTTCTTGAACCCCCCGCTTCTGAGACACTTTGTCAGGTATGTTCTCTTCTTAGTTCTATGTAGAATGACATACATCACAAAGACATTGTCTTGCTTATTAATTGTTCAGTTCTGAAGACCAATCATAGGCCTATTTTTGAAAGCCAGTTTGGGGTAGCGGTTAGGAGCATAGACTCTAATCTGGGAGAACCAGGTTTGATTCCCCACTCCTCCACATGTAGCTGCTGGTGTGACCTTGGGTCAGTCATAAATTCTTTCAGAGATGTTATCTCAAGGGCAGTTCTCAAAAGAGCTCTCTCAGCCCCACCTACCTCACAGGGTGTATGTTGTGGGGAGGGGAAGGGAAAGGAGTTTGTAAACTGCTCTAAGACTCCTACGAGTAGTGATGGATGGGGTATAAATCCAATTTCCTCCTCTTCTTTCCCCCTCACTGTATTGATTGCAGGCAGCATGTCCAAGTGAACTCTGTCCACAGCTAGCCTACAGTTTCTCCTTTTAGCCAGATCAAAGGACATTTTCCTTTGATCTGGATCAAAAGGGAAATCCCCAGGGGACTCACAAGTCCTGCTCATTGTGAGCACATCAGTCTTAATTTGAGACATGTCATGGCCCTCCCATATTTTTCTGAGAGGAAATCAAACAAACCATGTCTCCATATGTACAGGCTTCCATACCAAAGTCCTGTTCACACATTATATTAAAGCCATGCTCTTCTGTTTCACTGCACATATTCTACCACCATGCAAAGTGGCATGTCTGCCCTGTATGCAACAACCTCTGGAATACTATTTGATTTTGAGATATCTGACCACACACATTCATGAAGTTACAGGCCAGTCAGCCTAATGTCTTTCCCAGGAAATTAGTAGAAACTGTAATCAAAGATAGAATTGTTAGGCACATAGAGAGACAAAGCCTGCTGAGGGAAAATCTGTATGGCTTCTGCGAAGGGTAGTCCTGCCTCACCAACTTTCTGGAGTTCTTTGAGAAAGTGAACAACCGGGACTTCCGGTTTATGAAGCAGCGATGGCGGTCACTCTCCCCGAGCCACGGGAGGGCAAATAGCACAAATTGGGAAGGGGAACTACAACTAGGGATAAAGGAAAGATAACCACACTAAACTAAAAACCCAAGAGGAGGAGATCTTATTTCTGTTAGTGTAAATGTTAGTACCACAAGTGTTAGTATCACAATATACTTGTAGAGTTCCTGTTCATCTTCCATGTTTATATGTTATAATGTTAGTTGTTATGAGAGAACTTTCTGATCATCTTCATGTTCTTTGCTTCAAAAGGCCAGTTTCCAAGTCCTTCTGCCTTCGGCTTTCTGTCTCTAAAATTGTAGACAACTTTGGCAGGTCCAGCACCCATTTCTGTAGCAGAGTCTTCTTCCGTTCCAGAGGTAGCAGAGTCACTGGATTTCGTTTCTTCCTCCTTAGACTCTTCCTCTGTTCCAAACTGATGCCGCAAAAACTCTTTAGCCTTGAAAATGGAGTCTATCTTCTCTCTTTTATTGTTGATCTTAAAGATGACACCTTCCGGGATCGCCCACCTATACGTTATTCCATTAGTTTGAAGAAAAGCAATCAAATCTTTATAATTTTTCCTCTTTTGCCGAATTTCAAATGGAATTTCTTTTAGCGTCTTGATCGTTACATTTCCCATTTTCAGTGGAGTTGCTGATGTTGCTTTTAGAATAGCATCTCTGGTCTGTCTTCTTGAGAATCTGACCACAATTTCTCCAGGTAAGCTATTTTTTAATATAATTGGAGTATGCCCTATAGGCCACCTCCATATCTTTTACTAGTTCATCCGCTGTAGAGTCTATCACTGGAGCGATAATCTCGCTAAGCAAACTCCTCAGGTCCTCTTTCGCTGCTTCAGGAACTCCATGGAACCTGAGAATCATATTGGCTTTTTCCATCTGTAGTTGCAGTACACGGTTTTCTTGAAGATTTTGCTTTGTTTCCACCTCTCCCAGTCTTTTCTTCAACTTCTTACTTGTGGTGTCCATCTCTTGAATTTTCTCATTAGCCTGCTCCACTTTCTTTTCTGTTTCATTCAGCTGGAGCTGTTGAGATGCAAAGTTCATCACAGTCAGTTGCTGGTTAATACCATTGACTTGTTCCATCACCAGCTTGAGCATATCCGCTAGTAGTTTAAGACGTCTGCACCCTCTTCCGGTTTGGGACTCTGACTGCCTGGCGGTTTTGTTTTTAACTTTGCACCCTGGGCCGCCATTTTTCTGATTTGTTTACACTTCCCACTGCTTTTTCCCGACTCGAGAAACTCGCTCATGATGTAAAAAATCAAGTAAGTCTCTCACAACACATGCGCTACTTTCCTCCCCTCTTTTCCCCCTTTGTGTCGTTTATCGGTT